GATTGAAAACGGTGACAACTCAAAAACAATAAAATATATGAATAACAAACCCATGATTGTCAACAAAATTTGGAATAATCCTTCAAAAAAGTAGAAAATAATTCTAATATACAATTAAACACTGACATTATATACCTGAATACTCAAAGTCTTCTTAATAACCAATGATATTGAAGAAAGTGAACTGAAAATTCCTAATTACAATATAGTACGCTGTGACTCAAAAAATCGACATACAGGTGGTGTCTTAATATATATAAAAAGTGACATTGTGAACTCTGTATATAAAACATATATATTAGAAGGTAATTACTGGTGTAAAATTCTGAAAATTAGACTCAAACGCCCTATTTTAGTGGGATGTCTTTATCACTCACCCTCAGGATCTGATGTCTCATAGTCAAATTCTCAAATAAGACATCATCTTGAAAAATATACTATATTGCCTTCTGAACAATCAGGGTTCAGACCGGGACACGGTTGTGCTACAGCCTCACTTAACATTGTTGATGATATTATTAGAGAGACAGATGGAGGAAAAACAACTGTTCTCATTCTCTTAGAATATTCAAAAGCATTTGATACGATAAACCATGAAATTTTACTCTCTATTTTACACTTTATAGGTTTTTCGGACAGTGCTATTAGTTTTACGTGTACTTATCTACAGGAATATGTGAAGGCAGCTGTGGGTCAGTCAGCAAGAGAGAAGGTCATTTGTGGGGTTCCACAAGAGTCTATTCTTGGCCCCGTACTATTTAGTATATACACAAGTGATTTCAATTCGAGCATTACAACTTGTAGAGTCCACTTTCATGCTGATGATACACAGCTGTATCACTCATTTGCTCCAGAAAATTGGTTTGAGGCTCAAAAAGTAACATCTGAAGATTTAAACCGATTAGTAGAAGTATCACATGCGCCTAAGTTCATAGATCATAACGATATCAATCGTATAGAAAAAATACAGAAATTATGTCTCAGATTGATCTACGGTATTCGCAAATATATGATCCAATATCTCACAAGCTAAGATCCGCAAAGTGGTTAAAAATGCAAGATCGTCGAAAACTTCATTTTCTCATTTCAACCCATGCAGTAATCAATAAACAGTGTTCCGTATATCTTTACAATAAAATAAAATATAGGACAGATATTCATAACCTTAATTTACGTCATAGCAATATTTCCGACTCGCCCGTTGATATTTTGAATTATATTACAAAGAACCATCTGAAATAATTTTTCCAAATATATTTGTAGCCCTCACAACCCTACTTATTTTGGTGGAATCTGATGACGAGAGATTATCAAAGCTGAAACTTGTTTCGTGTTTAATCAAAGCGATCGCAGAAGTTATCAAAGAAGATTCACCTGATAGAGAAATAAACATAGTCTACTTTTGAAGTCAGAATCACAAATTTGCCCCTTTATTCATGGGTTATGCCCATCAGGCCGCTTATGAGTTCCTTCGGTATCTTTTGGAAGGAAAAGCACAAGAGTCCTGGCTGAGTTATTTTAGGATATACATTATAAGATTGTAAACAATTTCGTAGGTCAATTGAATTCCACTATAAAGTGCATACCCTGTAGACACTGATCAGTAACCTAACCTCTCCCCATACTACGAAGAACTGGCCAATTGAGTTTGTCACAATGCTTGGATCCCTTCACAAGAGAGGAAAATCTGGAATGAGATGAAAAACCAGCTCTTTCGAATAGTGTTTTTCATCAGTTCGGACTTCCATTGACTAATATAATATGAATTTATTTAAAATCCCTGAAAAAAATTGACCAAAAATAACAATTTCATTAAACAAAAAAACTGAAATCACAAAGAAATAACATACAAGCAACAACCAAAAAAAAATTAAAAATTGGAATAATAATAAAAGCTGAAAATTAAAAAATATTATTGACAAAAAATTAAAAATAGAAATTAAAAGATTCCAAACCAAGTTTCGTCACGACGTTCCGATTGTTAGTATCCACAATCGTCTTCGGGTGATAACTGGACTTATTCCTCCGAGATCCGACTATTTATAGGTCATTCCATTTTCACAAAAGATGGAACCTCTCAAGGCATTTCGTTGAACTACTAGGTAAAATCGAAGTCAATCTAAGATCAGTTTCAACGTGGAACGCCTCTACATCAACGTTCCTGTCGAAGAAGCGCTTCAAATCATACAGAAGAAGCTATCCGAAGATGAGGACCTGAAAGATAGAACAAACTTACCGATACAAGTAATCATGGAATTACTAGGATGCTGTGTACGAAACTGCTACTTCCAACTGAAGGACGAATTNTTCATCGGTGAAATTAGGAGGCCATTGAAAGTTCGCATTGCTGAGCACAAAAAACACACACAGCGAGGAGAAACCAGCAAATCCGGAATAGCAGAGCATGTTTGGACTCATCAACATAATATCATGTGGGCTCAAGCTGAAATCATCCACAGAGAGGAACTCTGGTTTAAGAAAAAATTCAAAGAAACCGCGTACATGTTGTCCAACAACGCATTTAGTCAAGCTAGTGTAGAGATACGTAACATATGGAAACCTCTAATCAATCGAAAAACAACCAACTCTCGCGAAACATTCATCTCCCGCTAAAACTAATGAAGCAGAGAGAGGGAAGAGGGGATAGTTGAAAGCACTCGAATGACCTATAAATAGTCGTATCTCGGAGGAATAAGTCCAGTTATCATCCGAAGATGATTGTGGATACTAACAATCGAAACGTCGTGACGTAACTTGGTTTGGAACTTTTTTTCCGTTGTTGCTTGTATGTTATTTTTTTGTGATTTCAGTTTTTTTGTTTAATAAAATTGTTATTTTCGGTTGATCTTTTTAAATTTTTTCAGAGATTTCAAACCAATTTATATTATATTAGACAATGGAAGTCCGAACTCATGAAATGCACCACGAAACATTGCCAACCACCTTCAAACACAGCTTATTCGAGGTGCAAGGAAAGAACAACGTTCACATCACAACGTTCCTATCAATCCATAAGTTTCCCAGTATTTTCTCTCCAACAAAAATATTTAGATGCAAATTAAATGTTGCAATTGACTTTTCTTCAGAAGGATTAGATATGAGCAATTATACAGCAGACAATGTGGCTCCTTTTCGTTATAATCAATATGCGCTTTCTAATCACAGTGGGACTACCTACAACGGACATTTCACAGTATATTGCAGACACTCATAACGAGCACGTGACACAAATACAACGATTTCCACGTGTCCCCAATTTCACTAAAATCGCTTTTGAGTGGGGAGGCATATGTCCTCTTTTATGAGCAGGAGGGAAAGAAGTCGTATATTTGAGGTAATTTTTTTTGTCAGATTTTGATTTTAATGAATTGTACTGAGATAATATATTTGTTTCTGCAAAAAGGGATATAACGGATTGAATTGTTAGCTCCACTTATTTCAGGGGGAGCAAATATACGAGGGGTATTCGATGAACTAGAAATCAGACTTTCTTATTTTTGCTCTGAAGAGCAACTCATTTTGGACCTAACCTAACCTATTGTTATATTGATTGGGAAGGAACACAGCTATCATTTCGGAGAGAAAGAAAAAGTTATGCTTCTCCTAAGACGGATATCATTTTATTGATCTTTCACAATTCAGTGTTTTGTCTGTATACGAGTTTTACATCAACATCCGCAATGGTTTTTTCTGTGAAACATTCGTGTGAAACCCTGGAAAAATCTAAATCACTCAAGAGGAAATCATGATCTAATCTGATTTACAAGTGCCTATAATTTTGTACCACAAATACTAATTACCAGAGATAATCCTTACTCTGGGGGAGTATCTCATTATATCGTAGTAATATATATAATATTCTGTTGCTGAGAAAAATTCTTAATCGGAACAAATTGTTCAGTTGTTCAGTTGTTCAGTTGTAAGTTAAAGTGATAATGATCGCTTTCAAATATAACGGGGTAAGTTGATCATTTTTGATTTTGTGATATCCAAAATAACTATCGACTTTCGTGGGGTTTTTTCTCTTCCACAGTCTGAAAAATATAACAAAGTAATGAAGAACTTCATACATGTATAGAAAAGGCAAACTTTCCAATTCATTCCGATAAAATACTATGCAATTTCGAAGTATTTTTCAAGAAGAACAATGTTATTCAGAAGTTAATATCGGACATAGCACTCAAGAAAGTGGAATGAGAGAGTAATAGATAGAGAAAAAGTGAATAGAGAATAGAGGAATAGAAACTCGGAGAGGGAAATATAGGTATCACACAGCTGCACGCATTAAACTTTATCGACGAATTTTTGTTATTTCGGCCTTGCGGAAATCGTCAGATTATATATTTTTCGTTATCCTCGAATTATTTCCTTCAAAATAAAAAAAAATACGCTCGAGAATGTCGAAATGACATTATTTTTTTACAACTTTGCTGCCCTCCCCTTTCTTTACGTCACTCTCAAATTGTCAGATTACTGGAATATATACTTTTCAGCAGGTAATTAACTCACCCTACCTTAATCTGACGCGCTCGAGAGTTTTTGGTGATCATTTTTTTTACTAATTTGATCCTTTATCCCTCACAGACGGCCTTATATATGGGGATCATATTTGGTGAAGGTACTTAACCGGGTACAAGGTATCCCCCTGTATATTAATCTGCCGCGCTTTAGTAAATCCCGAAATCCCCTATTACAAAGAATTGATAGTAGCCTACAGAACGAATAATAATTGGAGTGAATTTATTATGTCACTCTTGTCATTACTGTAAGCTTTCAACATGACATTACTAATATCATAATATCAAAAAATGACATCATTAATACCAATGCGTCATTTTTTTTATGTTTTCATCAATATTCAATTTTAAATTGTATTGTCCATTTTTTTAGTTCTTCATTTTAGCGTCCTGTCTCGATTCAGAAATTTCCAGCTAATCCCAATTTTTCTTTGTTAAACTCAAGTCAGGCATAATCCTTTCCAATCGCTAATTCCTCTAATATATCACAAAGAGTGATATGCATATCTGTTTTCAGATAATGCTGATCCTGGCACTCCTAATATTTGAGACTCTGTCTGAACCCACAGGGGAAGGCTATGGTGGTGGCTCCGGGGGAGGATTTGGGGGTGGCTATGGCGCGGGTGCCGGAGAAGGCTACGGAGGCGGTTCCGGAGGAGGTTACGGGGGTGGCTCCGGCGGAGGTTACGGTGGTGGCTCTGGCGGAGGTTATGGAGGAGGTGGAGGCTATGGAAAAGGGGGTTACTCCCAAAGAGAATCAGTTGGACGACCACATATTCAATACGGTCAGGAAGTTACACGAACAGTGGTTGACGAGCGCCCTATATACGTTCAACCAGAAGTGGAGACGGTTTCCGTGGCACAACCCCCGGCCGAGAGGAAAATAGAATTTGTTGTTGTTGAAAAACCGAATTATCAACCTGCGCCACCACCCAAGCGTGTCTATCGTCCTGCACCACCACCTAGGCCTGTCTATAATTCTGTTACACAATCGGAGTCTGTTTACCAACCTGCCCCACGCCCTAAACCAGTCGTACGACCTCATCAAGATAAGACAATTGAAGTTGTAGTCGTTGAACAACCAACTCATCAATCAGTTCCAGCGCCACAGCCGGTTCATCAACCAAGACCGAATTATCAACCTGTTCAGCAACCCAGGCCTACGTATCGTCCTCAGAAACAACCCAAACAAGATGAAACAATAATAGTTGTTGTTGAGCCACCTGGGACAGTGTATCAACCCGCTTTGCAGCCCAAACCTGTTTACCGGCCTCCCTCACAGCCTAGACCAATTTATAGGCCTCCCGCCGCACCTCAGCCTGCTTACCAGCCTCAATCACCACCAAAATCTATTTACCGGCCCGCTACACAAACTAAATCAGATAAAACTATAGAAATAGTTGTAGTTGAACAACCGCAACCACCTAAGCCCGTTTACAGACCTTCTCCACAGCCTGAACCAGTTTACAGACCATCAACACAGCCTAAGCTGGTTTACCAACCATCTCCACAAGCTGAACCAGTTTATAGACCTTCTACACAGCCCCAGCCTGCTTATAGGCCTGCTCCTCAACCCTCACCCCCTAAAACAATGGTGGTGGAGCAACCTGCTCATCAACATATTTCACAGACAAAACCTGCTTATCAGCCTGCTCCACAGATCGAACAGAAACCTTGCTGTGAACGATATCCAGGTAGATTATGAGCAGGACATATCGTTTTTCCACAGATGCTAGCTCTGGTATTCCTGTTGTTCATCATGGAACAGTCAACAGCCATACCGAAATTCGGCGGTAAAAAATACGGTGGAGGCGGCGGAAATCAAGGAGTTTGCTGCGTACAACCTCAGCCACAACCTGTGTACGTACAACCTGCCCCAGTGCGTCATCCTGCTCCAAACCCGTGCTGCGGGGGACAACAGGGAGGAGGATATGGAGGAGGAGGAGGCGGCGGAGGAGGAGGTTCTGGATATGGAGGCGGCGGCGGTGGTGGTGGTGGTTACGGAAAATGAAAGACGGAATTCAAGTTATGATGTATACCATATGAATTAAAGTTATGAAGAGTATGTTGTTGTTATTTCACATCCACTGAAATAAAATTTGAATTTGTTGTAGCAAATTATAATAGAACCAAACAAACACAAATGATACTTTCAGAGAATGAATAATTCTCTAGTGCAGCCCTTATTCCGTCCTTTTTGGTTGAATTCAATACAAGTCGAGTCATACATTCATTTGACCACTAATTTATGATAACTTCAACACTAAAGTACTGTAAGTTTCAACTTAATAGTTGAATAATATTGAAATATTTATAATATATCATTTGAGAAAAGTTTTTTTGGTAATGCCATGCGGTGCAGTTACTATAACACGCTCTGTATACAAAATTTATGACTATTAAAAATCACACAGGTAGATTTTAAAGTGGGAAATACCGCTGACCATTCACCTAATTACATCTCTGACTGACAATGACAATAAGCTCCCATTGACATTCATTCTTAGCATTTGTTACGCTAACTCATGAATAAATATAATCTACGTATTCATGAATTGTTGATGATATATTCAGTGAGATTTCACCTGCGTATTTTCATTGTCAAGTGCGTTGAACCGATGACTGTTCTGATGTGAGATTCAAGGGGAATTCCATTTCACAATAAACTCAGTCACGTTTGAGGAAACCAGCGATATCTCAAGCATTAAAATTCATTGCCAATGTCTGTTTTATATGCCAAAACATCCAGAAACTGGCTGACCCCGATGAACAGGATCTGAATTAACTTCTACGAAAAAAGTCATTGTTGATAAATCAGAAATATCTTCAGTCTACTCAGGCTCACTTCAATGAAGTATATCCTGAAATAACCTGAATGAGTACGACCATATGAATAACTCCGTTACTTTTTGCTAATCTGAAGGATTATGTCAAGGAATCTGAGTCAAAATCCTCCTCTTTCGTCTTAGATATTACCGAAGGATAGGTTACTTTACAATTTTTTTTTACATTTCACTGGGTAATATTTCATCTTTCCTAAAAGTGTACAAATATCGTAAGCAATAAGGGATAGGTTTTTTTATAATTATTTTAAAAATGTGTTAACATCATGGACTCATTTTGAAATGAATCCATATATCAGAGATGTGAACTACATACCCATAAATACCTTAGAACTGAATTCAGTGTCTGAGCTGAACAAGCATTTTAGAGATACTACAAAGGGAAAATCCATAAAAATCTTTCATCAGAATATCAGAAGTGACCTGAAAAACATTGATGAACTAAAAATTAAATTGAATCAGTTGGAATATCACTATGCTATATTGATTTTAACGGACACCAGTGTATTCTAACTGGATCAATACGAATTAACTTATAATCAGGGAAATATAAATAAAAATGATGGCGTGATAGTTTTTATTCAAAATTCACTCAACTATACTAATGATATTGTTTCTATCGGTCTACATAAATCCATACAAATCAAACTACACCTTGATAATCATACATGTTTCACAATCACGTCCTTATACAGACAACCGTCAACAAACGCTGAAGAATATGTGAACGATTTGCAGAGTTATCTAGAACAAATGAAACGAATATTAACATTTGAAATCCTTGTTATAGTTGGAGATATCAATATTGACTTGAACGATGATTCAGAATTAATTTCTGAATATCTTGATTTAAGGGGCGAATAAAACTTCATCTCTTTGATTAATAAAGATACTCGTACCCAAGGTTGTTCATCAGGTTGTATAGATCATATGTTTTTGAGTAGCACCAAACTGAATGCAGAAGGAATAGCTCAATAACATTTGACACCCAGATAACTGATCATAAAGCTATAATTTGGAATATTCCCTTACATCAAAATGACAATTGTTTTCACAAATAACCATCCAAAAATTGAACCAAATGAGCGTCGAAATTCTACCTCACCCAACATACTCCACAGACCAAATCCCAAGCACCCAATTTTCATGCTGACGAAATAAGTCGACTTGTGTAACGATGGCAAAGTGCTAATTTCGTTCAAATTGAATGACTATTCACTGATATAATACAGTCTGAATTAGACTCATAAAAACGGTAAAACTTTCGAAATATAGCACAGCAGTTAGACGAAATAAATAACAATATCAACAATTCAAATTTCGTGAAGTTTTTCACTTTTATGTGTTATTTTTCACTATAAAGTTGAAAATATAATCGGGGCACATCCAAAAATATAACAAAATCCTTCCAATTTGTTTTGTGGGGAATATTGTATCTAAATGTTTCCTTACTGTTGTTGTATTATGGAGAGGGGCGGCGTCTTGTTGAAAATATGACACACATATTTCACAATGGATGTTCAGTAGCAATCCATCTCAGTAGCCATCAATCTCTTTGGATAAAAAATGTAGAAACCATTACCATTAAAATGCTCATCGTAAAAGATAGGACCAGTATGTTTGTTCCCAAAATTTCCAAAATATTCAGTTACTGGAAGAGTGGAACAAAATAAATAATATGAGTGAGAAAATATTACCCCATGAGCTGAATGAAATGTCTGGAAGATATCATTGCCTGGCTAATGGGTAGACTCGGAATGTGGTCAAATGATATAGGTAGTGATTCTTCCAGTCGCACTTTTGTCGCAGCCTTACAAACGACAACGCTTAGCTGTCGAAATTCCTTGCTCAGAACAATCAATTTGATGGTTTAACCTCTTTTATCAAGATAAATATTCTTCATGATTATTTTTTGAAGAATATTTCTTTCAGATATTGATTTGTGTGATTTGTAGTCGAAGACTCGGTTACTGTTGATCCCAAATTCCGCCATACACACTCTGACTTTTATTGAGGTAAAAAAAAGATATGAAGTCACGATGATCTGAATGCAAATCATCCAGTCTAGAATATGACATAATTCAGAAATAACAATGCTCTATCACTCGAGTCACACACTACAAGTACCCTAATTGAAATTTCTCACACAATCAAATAATTCTACAAGTTCCTATGAAAATTCCAATCCCGATAATAATTTCGAGAAAGAATCTGACCGTGAAAACAAGGAAGTTCCATTTCATATCCATTTATCTAATTTGAGAAGAAATACGTACTATTAAACGTATTCCGAAGGCTGCAAGTTTAGTCACTGCAATCACCCTCACAAAATCAATTAACGAATGTTCATCCAGGAATTCTCTCACTACTTGGAAAAATTTTCTAATTTTTGCTTATAAAAGTTTCAGTATTCAGAGAACTAAAGATAATCGAAAAATTTCAATCACAACAATGAATGGTGAAGAAGGATTTGAATAGTTTCAATAACATAAGGATATCGACTAATTGTTAGATATTAATCGTTTTTTCGTTGATTTTTTTATAAATCTGTCTTGATGGTCACAAATATAAGCAGTATATTCAAGGCAGTCCAAGTTTAATGTACTTTAAAGTTTTCTGTGTCTATGTGTTGCTACGGTCCAACTTGTATTAAACTGGTATTCTATAATTCTCTTTGAAAAGCTTCGAGAATTAGTTCGGAGGGCTGGTTTAAAATCCATACTTTCAACTTCTTTTTCAATATGAAAAATCTATTAAGTGTTTTTATTTCATTTTGGAATTTTTCTGTAAATTATTATCAGGCATATATAACAGACAAACCATTGGTATTCTGCTTCTTTGGTTTTTCAGTCGAGTATTGGTCTATTTGAGACTTGTGTTGGTGATGGTAAGATGCAAGATTAAGGAAGTACAGTTGATGGATTGTAAATGGCTCAGATTGTTGGAAGTGTTTAACTGACGGAGATCTGTAGCTTTCCTTATACATTATCTTTATCAGCCATTTTTATGTCACGTATATATTGCCTCCCGAAAGAAATAACAGTTGTAAAGGATTTTTTTCATACCACAAACAATATTTCGGATAGGTCGCTCACAATGGAAGTTCTTGATGGTCACAAATATAAGCAGTATATTCAAGGCAGTCCAAGTTTAATGTACTTTAAAGTTTTCTGTGTCTATGTGTTGCTACGGTCCAACTTGTATTAAACTGGTATTCTATAATTCTCTTTGAAAAGCTTCGAGAATTAGTTCGGAGGGCTGGTTTAAAATCCATACTTTCAACTTCTTTTTCAATATGAAACATCTATTAAGTGTTTTTATTTCATTGGGATTTTTCTGTAAATTATTATCAGGCATATATAACAGACAAACCTTTGGTATTCTGCTTGTTTGGTTTTTCAGTCGAGTATTGGTCTATTTGGGACTTGTGTTGGTGGTGGTAAGATGCAAGATTAAGGAAGTACAGTTGATGGATTGCAAATGGCTCAGATTGTTGGAAGTGTTTAACTGACGGAGATCTGTAGCTTTCCTTATACATTATCTTTATCACCCATTTTTACGTCACGTATATATTGCCTCCCGAAAGAAATAACAGTTGTAAAGGATTTTTTTCATACCACAAACAATATTTCGGCTAGGTCGCTCACAATGGAAGCACTATACAGCAAAATGAGCTTTGAGGAGTTAACTTTCGTAACTCATGTAAAATTTAAATGTGAAGTCGAGACAGATACTTCAAATATAGTGAAAGATTCATAACAAAATCCAACACGTGTCAAAATATAGATATTTTGAACAAAAACAGCAAGTAATACCATTGACAGTCTGTCGAATGCTATACTGATATATGAAAAGAATGGGT